TTCTTTAAACAAAGAAAATAACCACTACTTCATATACTTGGGAATATAAAGACAATACAATTAAATATACAAGAAACAAATGATACGCCGGAGATTACCTCAACTGTGCCTGTTACACCTCATGTCGAGTCACCACCATCCGATGACATCGGATCAATGATCAACTTTCAATCTCAATCAGAAAAGCAAGTTTAGGTCAAGTCCTCGAATGGTATTATGAACTCCTCTTGATTACAAATCCTTAGACCTAAGTTCAAACCCTCAAGACCTAGTTTAAGATAGCTTCCCCTAACTATTTGTCAACCCTTAGGTTTTATCAAAACAAGATGCAAGAGAGAGAGAGAGCCTAAGAGGTGGGGCATGTCCCTTACAAAAAATACTTAGAGAGAGAGACTCTCCTAAGGTTGGGACATGCCCCCTATGGTTTCCAAGAGAGAGAAATTTTAGAGACGGAGAGAATAGAGATTTTTGGTGTAGAGATTTCATGAGTAGAGGTCATCTATTTATAAAGCAAGAACGAGATTAGGATTTTTTATAGCTTGCCTCTTTTTGTGAGATTGAATATGAATCATTGATCTTGGGTGACTTGTGGGGTGAAAGATTTGAGTCCTCCATTCCATAGATGGGCCATCAACATTATGGAAGGTACTAAAACTCTTATCTCCCTTTCCTAAACCATTTTTCCATCAATAGAAATTAAATAAAATAATTCCAAATAAAATATTGTGCATTCCAAAATAATGCACAAGTCTTCTTATGCTTTTCAAAAAATCCATTCAAAGCTTCCTCGAGCTAATTTCTTTTCAAAACATACAGCAACTAACCTCCCATGTCAAAAGTTGCTTTTATCTCAAGAAAATGCAAATTAGAAAGCTTTTAAAAGGGTGGGGCATGCCACCCATGAGAGAATCTCATGGGCCCCACCAATTAAACCATGGTGGGCCCATGTGCACAATGGGCCCCCATGTAAGTTTAAATATTTTAAATTTTAATAAAAGAATTTTTAGAATTTATTTGAATATTTAAATCACTGTAAAATCAATATATTTGTTTTTATAAATCCAAATTTGATAAATAAAATATCCAGAGATTTATAAAAATTCAAATAAAAATTCTAATATGATATATGTTATAAAACAAATATAATTAAATTCATTAGATAGGAAAATGATCTATATAGTCTAGGAATTAAATCAATAAACATTGGGGCACTCCAAATTCACCACACTTGTTTTATCAAACCAGCCCAGTGTTTCCCATGATCCACAGTCCATGCAGAGGCTCATTAGTAGGTCATCAAAGTCCGACCGATGAGCCAATAGGTCGTAATCCCAGTCTGTGGATAACAGATTCTCCCCTAGAGACGTTCTAAGGTCATCTAGACTTGATGCGACTACATCTCCTATGGTGCGTCGGGGTATCTCTCGTACATGCATAAGCTTCACCCAAAAAAGTGGTTCACCTTCCCGAAACGGCTATTATTATGCATGAGGTGTGATGGTACATGGATGAGGCTTTAGCCCCCGTCTTTAAAGGCCACCATCACACACAAGGGTCACACAGTTTCTCGGCTCACTCATTCAGATATATTCCGACCTCATCAAGAGATGACCTATTAGAACCTTTATCGGATAGTTTGTCATGCTCAGGTAACATAGGTTTTTTCGAACTGTCTAGCCTAGTTCATCAAGCTCAGTCCGGTATTAACAAACATGTATGCTTAGTATAGTCCACGAGGGACCGCATTCCCATTGAATTCATGTTCTATTATATCAAAATGTTTATTACAAGTATTCATAAGGCCTTTAATGGCCACACTCACCCAATACAAACATATACATCCTATAACATGAAGGTCTTTTCACTCATTAATATATACCAAAAAATATTAATCACATTCTTACAAATTATGTTATATTTTTAAATTTAAATCCTTAGATCTCAATTTTAATACCACCATGACACTTGTTGAACAGGACTACTGGTGAATTATGTAAATACTTAAAATATTGACCATAATAAATATTCAATTTCTTAGTACGTAAGCTCTTTGAAGTAACTTAATGAAAATACACACTTGTCTTCTGATTTTCTGATTTGAATACTAAATTAACAACTGGAATTAAGTAAAATGGAGGAGGAGAGGTGGTAACCAATTGCTTCAGACATGGCAAGAATTCCAAGAACTCGAGGCCCATAACAATAGATTGCACGCTCTCTAGAAACATAAATCCTTGCTAGTCCAGGCCTATCCAGCAAGGGAAAAAAGAAGAGTAAATAGATGGAAATAATGGAGCACATAGTTAACCACAATGAACACATACCGAACCACTACCTATCAATCCCCAATAAATTGATAGTAATAAAAAGGAAACTGAATATTTTGGTTTTCCTTAGTATTGAAAAAGTAAATATTGAGATGATCGGATTTGGACCAATGGAAATTTCTTAAAAACATTAATAATAGTATTACACTTAAAACTCACAAAAAATAATAAAAAAAAAGGAATGAAAATATGATTTATAGTCCATTTTTTTAATACCATTTACAATCCCTTTTTCTAGCCATTTTAACACTATTTTCATAGCAGAGAAAAACCACACATTTCACCATCAAATGCTTACCAAAAACATCCCAAATTTTGATTGATGAAGAAGGTGGCTGGAATCCACGATGGGAAGCTTGGGGCTTCCAATATACTCTAACACACACAAGAAATCAAATAGCCAAGTTCAAAAATTGGATGCCCAATCTAGCTTACTTGTTATTTTAAAGTGAAGAATTGGTTGAGACAATGGATGTCAGAACTGGCTTGGTTACATAAACTTCGTTCGAACATCCAAATAAAGACCTCAATTCCAATGTCAAATATCCAAATGAAAAATACAACATAAAAAAAGAAAATAAGAAATTCAAAGTTGAATGCAAAATAAAAAATTACACGAGACAAATTTTAAATAGGAAAGTATCAATTAAGGGATTGAAACTCCTTACAAAATCACTAAAGTAGTCAAATGATCACAAATTGCATTGGTGATTTGTTTTTAAATTTTTATTTCAGTCAGGTACATCCTAAAAAAAATAAGGTCCCAAATTGCTCTTTTTTTTATCGTAGGAAGCCCAAAAATTATGGTCATTATAGTGCTTTTACCCTAAAAGAGGATAGAAAAAAAACAAGATCCTAAATTGCCCCTGTTTTTATATTGGGAAGCCCAGATGATTTTGGCAGCATGGTAATTTTACTCTCAAAGAGGCCTTAAAAGAATGATAGAAATACATGTGCTTGTCAAATATTAGAAATAATGAATAGCTTGTTTGCTATTTGAAATGAAGAATAACAAGGGATATTTATGTGATTTCACATGCTGCTATTGACCATTATTTGAAATAAGGAAGAACAAGAGGTATGTATTTATGTCATTTGACATGATGTTCTTGTCAAATGATAGCTATACCAATTAATGTTCCTCATTTTAATTATTATGAAAGCGCTTCTTATAATTCTAGTTTTTTAATTCCAAGCATTGGCCATTTAAGAACTTTTAATTTTTTTTGAGGAAGTACTTGATTAAAGTAGAATCCGTGTTCATGCGATGATTTTTGGAATGGGGATTGATCCTTTAATTGACTCCCAATATTAAATATTGTAAACTAATGAGATTTCTCAATAAATTTCCTTTGAAAACTTAATAGGTGTGGTTCGCGTAAGGTACACCCCCAAATTTTATCATAGGATAAAATTTTGGTATAAATTTTTTAAAAATATATTTTTATATCTAATTATAAAATTTTAGACTCCAAAAATCGTTCAAATCAAATAAATCTATAAACATATAAAAATCTTGAAAATGAATTTCCATCTTGTGTCGCTAAGATGTAGCGTTTTTTAGATTCAAAATCTTATACGAAAGAACTTTTAGCCTTAATATTAGGAAAAATTATAAAAAACCCCAAGACTACACCTTCTATACAACTTACCCCCAACCTAACTTTTTCTGTCACTTTTTTCTCGAAAATATACTTTCTATGCAAATACCCCACCAAAATAAAAAAATAAAAAAGATACCTAAACTACCCTTCCTTACTTTTATCTTACTCATGCCTCTCTTTTCTCTGTCCCACCAAAATAGGAGCTCTGACATGTAAATGTGGTCTACTTTTATCTTACTCATGCCTCTCTCCTCTGTCCCACCAAAATAGGAGCTCCGACATGTAAGTGTGGTCCGACAGTAGGGCTTCGGCACTCGTAAAGTGCATTCGGTACTAGGGCTTCGGCACTGTGTAAAGTGTGGCTCGACAGTAAGGCTCAGACACTATGTAAAGTGTGGTTCGACAGTAGAGCTCCGGCAGTAGTGCATTCGGTACTAGGGCTTCGGCACTGTGTAAAGTGTGGCTCGACAGTAAGGCTCAGACACTATGTAAAGTGTGGTTCGACAGTAGAGCTCCGGCAGTAGGGCGTCTGGCAGTAGGGCTTCGGCAATGCGTCCGACAGTAGGGCTTCGACAATGCGTCCGGCAGTAGAGCTTCGGCATTATGTAAAGTGTGGTTTGGCAGTAAGACTCCAGTACTGTGTAAAGTGCGGTCTGACAGTAGGGCTTCGGCATTGTATAAAGTGCGTTGTAAAGGGTGATATGGTAGTAGATATTATTGGATTCTAAGGCTCTAGCACTATGTAAAGGGCAGTCCAACAGTACTCAAGTTTCGGTCCTGTAGTTGTCTTAGGGTGGTTCGGCACTTGTGGGCTTCGACAATATGATGGTGCGCTCCAAAAGTCAATGTCAAATCTGACCAAAATGATTTTTGTGTACGAAAAAAAGTATTTCCGTTTAAAAAACTTCAAATATTTGTATAGAAAGTGCGTTTTGTAAAAAAAAAATGAAAGAAAAAATTAGATTGGGTAAGCTGCATAGAGAGTGTGGTGGGGGGCTTTTTTGTTTTTTAATTCTACATGTTGCAAACTTAGATAACTCTTTTTTCCAAAGTTGACAGTGGGACTCGGGTTGAGTGTAGTTTTTTGTCAGGTCCCCCTTGTGAATTGATGGCACGTTATTTTTCCTCGCGGTGGTGGCGTTGAGGAACAGACCGAGGTGTCCCTCCCCTCTTCAAAAGGGACGAGTGCAGCAAAACCAACAACACCGTATATAACATAACATAATAGCATCACACTTCTTCCAAACTGCGTGCCCCGTTATCATTTTTTCGTGAGCAGGTAGGCTAATTCACTCTTCACATTTCTCCTTCTACAAGATGCTTCTTTTAACCAATTTTTGCTTTGCTTTGTCATAGGCGATGATACTATGCCCTAGATTTTGCCGCCATTGTGTGTATCCTACCATTTTGCATCAGATCTATTGTCTCAGCTTCCTTCCTTCTGAAGAAGACCCTTCTGAATTTAAGACATTAAATCTGTGGTTCCGATCTGGCGTTTTGGTCCCACGGTCTCAGCAGCGACATAATGGCGGTTTCTTACCTCTATCTTATATTCATCTGAATTGTTTCAGCCATGCGTCCATCTGTTGATTTTTAGATTCTAGTGTGAGAAACTGCAGCTTTTTGTGTCTTGTTTGAACTTGCGGAGAGAGGATCCTGATTTGAGAAATTGTGATGAAGTCTTCTCAGTCTTCTTACCGTGATCGGACGGCAGAGTTCCATACAGTTGCAGAGCGGCTGAAGAAGTCGTTCTCTTCGGTTCCTGATGCACCTGCCAGCAGCAGTTCTTCGAAGGTGGAGGCGTCCAGATCTGCAGTCTCGATCCAGTCAGAGTTTAACAAGAGGGCGTCGAAGATCGGCTTTGGCATTCATCAGACATCTCAGAAGCTTTCAAAGCTCGCCAAATGTGAGTTGAATTTTGTGACTTCCTTTTACCATTCCTTTCTATGATGATGAATTGAGACCTAGCTGAGTAGATCGTCTTGACCAATTTTCTTTGGATTTTGTCATTCATGTGATTGGTCTCTTTTTTGGAGATTATAAATATGCTGAAATTCCTTGTTTCAGCATGATGTTGGGTGTGACACTAAAATGTGTTGATTGGCATACCTTTGTTTCATTGATCTATAACATGTAGACTGCAATCTAAAGTAATTTTCTTCATTCTTTGTTTTGTGTAAATAGTTTTTTGATTTTTATTTTACCACCCATTCCAGGTCAAATCTAGCAGGCATAAAGAAGTAAAGACATCAGAGAAAGAAGAAAATTAGTATTTTCTTCTTTCTCTGATGTGTTTACTTCTTTATGCCTGGTAGACTTGAGCTGGAATGGGTGGTAAAGCTCACGATTGATATAAGGTTGAGCTAAGAGTCCGATGTTTGTCATGTTGTCCTCCATCTTTTTGAAATCTTATGCTATGACACAAAGCTCATCTAATATGAGCTGGAAAGCTGTGCATAGTGCTTGTAATTTTACAGCTGCTATGATGTTGGGCATGTTCAGCTCTTATGTTCTGCGTCTCATGTAATGCAAACTGGGTGTTGTGCCTGTCACAATAGAAGCATGCATGAGGCTTGGGTGCTGTGTGCAAGCACACATACTTGAATGCTTGTATATCATAGCTAAATACTAATATTATACCAGCTTATTTCTCTTTAATATCCCTTACAAATAGGAACAGTAGAAAGCCTCCAGAATGGCCAAAAATGCCTCAGACAATCCAAGTACATCATTAGATGTTGTTTGTGTTCAGGGATGCGCATTTGCTAAATGTTGTTATTTTCATTATGTATCATAGCAATCGAAGTCACTCTCATTCTCTGAGCACATTGGATGACACAATTTTTCTTTGTTACTTATAAAAGAAAAATATCTCGTGTATTGGTGATATAATTATTTTAGGTGAGTTTCAGCCAGGATCAATTCTAGTATAGTTAGCCAAGTTCTATAACCGTAAATGGATTAGCTTATGCTCATAAATTAGTTCACATCCTATATTTGTATGATATGATAACCATTACACACTGTTCCTTATGAAAATAAAATACTTCTATCCTTGATTCCAATTGTTGACATGGCATAAGCGATAGCTTTGCGCTAGATTTTGAACTTCTTAGCTCCTTCAGTTGATTCTGTAGGCTGTAGCTTTTAAATTTTTTGCTTCACTAGAGTGGTTAAATATTTCCTTTTCTGTTTATCTAACAGATATGCTCATGGATTTCTTGTGAGACCTTGTGAAACTGATATATCATGAGGCCACTAAAGTACAAGTTGGCTATAATTTCTGGTGTATCTAGCTCCTACTTTTTGGATCCTTGTTTGGAAGATGTATTTCACTGATATTTGGTTTAACTTGTTGCAATCCGACCTCCAAACTATTGAGATGACTTACTGCTGCTTATTGTTGCAGTTCTATGAACCTAATACGTATCACGGAATTCAGCCAGAATCCTTACTGAAGTCCAGAATATCCTGTTTGCTTCTAGTGGTTTTTTTTTGCTTACTATCTTACTCTCTATTGGATGTCCTTGAGACTTTGATTCTATTATGGGATAACTGATTTAAATTACGTAAAGATGTGTTTCTAGAGAAATCAATGAAGAACTGGAAAGTGACGAGGGATAGGGACATTGGACAGGAGTTGATGATTATAGGAGACATGAAAGATATGTTTTGAATTAGAGAAAGGTGGGTGAAGTGTAGGTTGAGGAAATTTAAGCACTAAGTGAGTGGCAAAGATGAGTTCTAGTCTTGTAGGCTAAAGAATATAAATTCGAAGCCTATTTATAATGAGATGGTTAATGCAATTTATCCTAGGTTTCTTGAATTTAATTAAGTGATTTTGGACCAATCAGGTGATAGAAAAGGAAACATCGATGGGTTTAATGAATGGCGATCTATACTCATTTAGACGTAGGGTAAAAGGATTTTGAAGTCAAACCTATCAGTAGTGATGCAAATGATCAAGTTTGTAGTAATGAAAACGAAGAGTTAACACTTCTATTCTCCCTAAATAGTTGCAGATTGATTGAGAAACAAGGAGTAGTCATTTGGACTTATTTAAGATCCCTTCTTTGTTAGAGCCATGCTGGACCAGCTTATCTGGTGGTGTTGGTGAGTTATGGGATGATGGTATACTTGAAGGGTTGAAGGATGATTTGGTACTGAAGCATTCTCGAGAATAGATTTAATATCATTAATCATGAGAGAATAAATGATTACATATCCCTTAGGATACTGTATAGTTGTTGGATGTGGAGGAGCAGGGTATTGTTATTGGCAGGCGTTCCCTTGTTTGAGAGTGCTCCGAAGGCACCCATACAATAGGTATATAAAACTAGAGAAATTTCAATATATAAAAGCTCAATCATAGTTTTTTTTTTTTAAAATTATTTATATGCAAAATTAAGATACTTGAAATATCATTAATGATATTTACCATAAATTCACTCAAATAAAATTTGAGAGTAGTGTCTCATATTTATTTATTTTCTATATGTAAGTCCTTCACAATATAAGGAAGATATTTATTTGATCTTTCATTGGGTTAATGATAATAAAGGATATTATTTTTGTCAAATCACATAGAAGTCCAGCCCTTTCTTCACATATTCCCTTCATTTCAATAGAAAAAGAAACTAAAGTGCGAGATAGATCAATCAAATAAGTATAGATATGCAGAGAGGGGGAAAGATAAAGAGACACGAGAGAATCATTCTCTCTCTTGTACTTGTTTAAAAATAGGGAATTTCGTATTCACCCCCCCTCCCCCCCCCCCAAAAAAAATGGTATATATTTCACATTATCCCTCCAACCTCTTAAATATCATGTAGCATTAAACTTTTAAAAAGCTTTTACCTCACCTCCTACCATTGTACTTGCCCAACTTTTTAAGTTAAACCCCTTTTGAATGCTCCACACAAAACCCCTATCCCATTTCAGCCCTTTCTCTTTCTACCCAATATTTGCCCACTTCCCAAACCTTCTCTGCCACATCTCTCCCTTCCCTCTCCATACTAATTCTCTCTCGCTCTCTCTCTCTTGCCCCATTTTCCTTCTCACTCCTTTCATCAGCCACAATCCAAAGGAGCACCCCTCTCTCTCATCCTCCCTCTCTCTCTCTCTATCTCTCTCATCGTACCTGTTCTCTCTTTCTCAATGGACACAAGGACCAAAGTGGTGCCTCCTTTCTCTGCTGACTTTACTGGCAATGCTGATGTCATGGCCTCCATTTTCACCACAGCTAAGCCCTTGGAGGAAGAAACCATTTCTACAACAGCCTACAAGATTAAAGAAGCCAAGGAATCAATCATCAATGAATATATTAGGGCTTATTTGATTGCACTTGATGCTCCCCAAAAATCTCATCCTCAATTTCCTGAGCTCACTATCGTTTCAGACCTTAGAAACCTCTCTTCATTGTCAAAACTTTGGCCATGGCCATGCAACTTGTGTTCATCTCTTGTATTGCGGCTGATGAATGGAGTGATAAGGGGAATGGAGCTTGCAAGAGAGAGAGAGAGAGAGAGAGAGAGAGAGAGAGAGAGAGAGAGAGAGAGAGAGAGAGAGAGAGAGAGAGAGAGAGAGAGAGAGAGAGAGAGAGAGAGAGAGAGAGAGAGAGAGAGAGAGAGAGAGTAGTAGAGTAGTAGTAGAGAGTAGAGTAGTAGAGAGTAGTAGTAGTAGAGTAGTAGTAG